TTCATTTTTAAAATGCATTATGGGTACAATTCACGAGCTCACAATCTCATTGGTGAAAAAAGGGTACTTTATGCGGTAAGATATTACTGTACTTTAAGGATACTATATGAGTGCCGCCAAGGCAAAACCAGTAATTCTTGATTTTCGGAAATTTCACTTTTAGAAACAGACAATATCAGATTCTTATAAATCGTTGCTGAAAATGAAATAACAATTGCTGGTTTTTCTTTGTCGACACTTATATGTGGATATATGCTTATAAGGGCAGTTCAGTAATTATAATTTATCAATTATTAATAATCAGAACTTCGAATTTAACGATAACTTATTTATACATCTGTTCCTGATTTTAGCGCGCAGCTACCTTATTATTATAATGCATTACGTACAAACTGCATGATTCCTTAATTGGAATTATGATTAAGGTCTAAATTTATAAACAATACAACATTAACTTATAAAAATCAAATACTAAGACGTTTTTAATTTGATAAAAACGTTAATTTTGAAATCTAATTAATTTGATAAAACGGTAATTTTGAAATCTAAATATATAACATTAAATAATTTCTAAAAACATTCGCATATTAACAGAAAATTCACCAAATCCTCCGTCATATAATCATGAGCTCACAATTTTATAACCATAATCGTTGGCTAGAAACTGAAATCGTGGACGTAACAAATCCGCTTTATTCTCTAGCCAAACATTCCCGACTCTTAAAATTCATTATTACTCAGTATGATAGAATGTCAAATGTAGATCTGATTCCCTACGGTGAATTCTACATGTTATATGCACGCCTGCAAAATATCGTTAAAGATAAATTAGTCGATAATTATTTCAGATATTCATCTAACAGCAGTAAATTAGTCGATAATTCTTTCAGATATTCATCTAACAGCAGTAAATTAGTCGATAATTCTTTCAGATATTCATCTAACAGCAGTAAATTAGTCGATAATTCTTTCAGATATTCATCCTACAGCAGTAAATCTGCATCATCTAACAGCAGTAAATCTGCATCATCTAACAGCAGTAAATCTGCATCATCTAGCAGCAGTAAATCTGCATCATCTAGCAGCAGTAAATTTGCATCACCAAACAATACTAGTGCAAATTATCATAAAGGATATCATAAAGGATATAGATTAATAGAAGGGTTGATCGAAAACATGATGTTAATCCTTTATCATACACCACGCGATTTACCTACAACACCACCAACAAAGCGTACACGAGATCTTTTTCATCTTTACAGGGATTGGCCAGGTCTAGATAAGATCAATAAAGCCGATTGTATGCTTTCATATAATCACCTTGACTCAACGCTGGTTCAAACTGTTTATAATGAGCTGAAATGTACAATCGAGAAGTTGGTGCAACCAGTCAACGCAGTCAAGGCAGTTAACGCAGTCAACGGATATAATGATGAAACGAAATATTTGAGATCAAAATTAGTTTACTATATGGAAAGATATAATAAACCTTTGAATCCCAATAATCCCAATGGTGACATTGTTTCAAATGGTACGTATGTATTTAAAACTCGGTACTTTTTTTAAGAACTTATAGTAATCGTTAAAGTATGGTTTTTAAGAACATTTTATTCGAAATGAGCATAATTAATAAATGATTCTGTTAGTCTTGGTACAAAATTGCTTTTGCGATTGACTAAATATACTGTAAAAGATCGTCTTGATGGGTACATTGTATAGGGGGTATATTGTATTATATGACAGAACATAAATCAGATTTATTTTCCGAAATTGGAACATTCCACAGAAGGGTAGACGAGGCGGGCTTTTACATATAAATCTTAATATATATATGCTAAACTTTTTTCTTTCAGTAGAAAGTACGCCGCAACCGCAACTTGGTCGCACTCGTCGTCGTTATCGTCGTCGTATTCGAGGTGATAAAAAATAAACCGAAATTTACAACAATTCTTTTGCCCATGTAAGTTACCTTTTTGAAATAAACCAATAAGCATTCAAGTATATCATAACGATAAAGCGATTTGACTTTGCATTATTTTTTGCATTTTCTAAATTAGATTATGGGAAAATTTAGAGAGGCTATTTTCTAGAGTATATTTAGAGAGGGTATTTTTTAGAGTATATTTAGAGAGGGTATTTTTTAGAGTATATTTAGAGAGGGTATTTTATTGAGCATATTTATAGAGGGATATTGACTGCGACAATGCGTTTACGTAAACATTGGCCCACAATACCATTTTGGAATAATTTCATACTTTTATGTTTTTGGCATGTTTTTTTTTTATTCTTTTTTTTTATTGAATATCTATTTTCCATTTTTTTTTATATTGAATATATATTTTCCATTCATTTTTTTATGTTGAATATCTATTCTCCATTCTTTTTTTTATGTTGAATATCTATTCTCCATTCTTTTTTTTTATATTGAACATCTATTTTCCATTTTCCTCCATTTTCCATTCTTTTTTTTATACTATTTTTCATTATTATAGTGAGTTATATTTTAACGAGATCATCATCTAAAACAAGATGATTCTTTAGAATGCAATAAAATTTATTATTACTGTGTTTTAACCATTAATATTCTATAAGGAATTAACAAAAAAAAACGGGAGAGAGATAATATAAATGCACCTATGGTGTTTAGCACACCTATATTTTTTAAGTTAGGATTAGGGTTTGGGAATGTTTTCACCGCTTAATTAGCCAGTTTTTGAAATATTGTATGAATAGGTATAACCACTACAGGTGAATTTTAGTAATATCCCCAAAAAAAAAGCCATTAAAAATGACAAATTTTTACGTTTAAGAATGCAAAAAAAAAAAAAGGGAAATTAATATCCAAAATTTTAAATTAAAGATTAGGTGTAACAAAAAATCAAATCAGAAATATAGCATTTCGAGCAAGTGTATAATGATTTCTCAACAAATTTTAACCGATATGAAAAAATAGCCACTTTATTTTAATTAATTTATACCTTTATCTTAATGTAATAATACAACCCATCTTTTAACCTTTAATCAGAGTAATGAATACTCCATTCGGATCTCTTGTAGTATAGATGACACCATTATTAAAATGTATTATTAATCAGTTGATTTAGAATAGGTGTCACCTATACTGCAAGAGATCCCTGCATTCATTTTTCGTTCAATAAAATTTAAATATTAATATTAATATTCGAAAGAAAAAAAAACTTATTTCTTGTTGCTGTAATGCAACTTCGTTAATGATTCCATAAATAGATTCTTTTGCTGTTGCAACAAAAGATTTACATTGATAAAATCATTAAAGGAGAAACCGACGCAGCCGAATTTAAAGTTTCGGCAACCGCTTGTGTAGAATTTTTTTTAAAGAGCTTTAGGCGGCATAATGTAGATTACGAAAAACAGGGAGTATGCTCAAGCATTGAATTCTATAAATGTCATCATTGACTGAAATGCTTGAGCGATATCATGATCATTATTTAATTGATTTGATTAAGATGCTTGAAAACACCCTTAATCAAACCATAATGAATAATACTGTTATTCCATTTTCGTTCAATAAAATTTGACTATTAATATTGCAAGAAAAAAAACTTTTTTATTTCTTGCTGTAATACAACCTTCGCTAATAATTCCATAAATCGAAATTGATTCTGTTGCTGTTGCAACAAAAGATTTAAATGGTAAAATCATTAAAAGAAGCCGATACCACCGAAACAGCCAAAATTAAAGTTTCGGTAACCGGTTGGGTAAAAATTTTTTAAAGCATTTTGGGTGGCATAACGCAGATTACGAAAAATAGAAAAAGTTTTTGTCATTTCGAGTTACAGCATATGGTTATCATTTCGTGCAATTTCTATATAATCTAAAGGTCACAGCTTGTCTGAACAATATTCTAAAAGTTTGTGATGAATTTAGCAGCTTTTTGTTGATATATATTTATACCAGGAACGTAGTGAACGAAGTGTATGGTTTACGGGCAACTTAATTGGATAGCATATTATATCATGTGGAATAATTTTGTAGGGATCTGCAAGTTTTTAACCTGTAGTAATTTGGAACGTATACTTTAAATGGGGTCCCTTAAAGCGGGGCAGGTTTCATATAATGATCTACATACTGCATAAATTGTATTCTTGATATATAAATAACTTATTAACCTTAACTGTATCAAAAAGGTAACTCTAAAAACATCAAAAAACGTAACTTTTTTTAAATGAACGTAAAAGTTGTTGATCTGAGAAAACAAGATTCTATTGGATTTTATGAGTGCTGCCAAAGGAAAATTCTTTTATTTAAAAAATAGGTCATTGTAAAATTAATAATAATCTACTTTAGATATACGGTTTTCTTTAGCTAATGCTAACTTCTTTCGGTAATTATGGTAGCTTGCCTATCAATCATATTTTTCAATCAAAAAATTAATTCGTTGCCAGAGAAATCTATACAATTTGATTAAATTACAATATTCACATAAATTATGTGTGCATTTGTGCACGGGTTAACTAATCTTCCCACCACTTCTATTACTTTGATAGGTTCCACTAATTATTCACATATTAGAGTCTCCATGTTATTAATCGGTTTTATAGTGAAGTGGAGAAGTGGTGGGAAAATCAGTAAATTCCATTGTGCATGAGATTTACATTTTTGAGAATTTATACACTGCCTTTGCAGTATTTTGGATTACTGATGCTTTTCATGAAAAAAATTAATAAGCAAATCCCTTATAAAAAAAATAATATAAAACGTTTATTGAAGAAAAAGTGTTATCCGAGTTATCCAGATGATCGACTAGTATATTTGGATATAAAATTTTATCTGATAGATTTTCATAAGTGTGTAAGAGATGTACCCAAATAGGATATAGATTAATAAGTGGCATGTAATATTTCATTGAATTTTTTTATTTAACGTTATAATATCAACCGTAGTACATTGTTATTGACGGAAATCTGAAACTTCAGCAATGATTTTAGATTTTCAGTGTTTTATCAAAAGAATGATCTCATAAATCTTTCTAGCTGTAACTCTATAGATCTGCCTAAGTTTGCGATAGACTGGTTTAAAAGCTGAAAGTAATAGAAATTTTGTTTAGGCATGAATAATGATTATACAGGGTGTAATATTATACAAGTCACTCTCGTTATAGTGAACTCTCGATATAGTGAAGACTAATTAAAATCTCGATATAGTGAAGTTAAGCTCGAAGCCAGTTTATATAAAATTCTCTCGATATAGTGAATTTACTAATAAAACTCTCGATATAATGAATTTTTAAAAAATTTTTATTAATGGAACGGATCACTTCACTATAACAAGAGTGACTTGTATAAGGTAAAATAATTGGTATTTCTTTGGCTATTTAAAATGAATTTAAGAATTACTTTTTAATTTCATCAAAATTGTTGTATAGCAAAAATCAACATTTGATCATTTTTATGAAAATTTGTTATTTGTGATAAAAATAGAATTAATTTACTACTTACAATAAAAAAAATCACAATCATTCATCTACGTAGGCATATTAATATTATTTATATTATGATTTTTTTTACAAATATAGTTGGTTGATATTAAGTAAAATTTATTGTCACCCTAACTGCTAATCTAAATTTAGAATGTAACAATTTATTTTATATCTCACCAAACTACTTCCAATATCATTTAACTTTCCTTAACCAATCTCTGCTAGAGACAAAAAATTTCACTTAACTAAGTTTACCAACTATTAAACACTTATATACAAAAACCAAAACTGTGCTTATAGAGATTCTAACAAACATTATCTACAAAATAAAAAAAAACTTTATTAAGATACTCTTCAACAATTCTACAATTCTTTCTCTAAAAAACCCCAAAAAGATGAACCTACTTGGATTGAACCTAAACTAGACTTTACTATCTCCTATACTAGTAACAAATATGAAGAATAGCGAAATGCTAAATTAAGCATAATTTGAGTCAAAATTCAAAATAACGCCTACTCGCTATTTTAAGAATTTACAGTAAATTTTAAATAAAATATTTAATTAAATTAAATTAAATAACTTTTTATATTCACTGAATAAATAAGAAATATTCATTGTATAGCCAAGTAATTGACGACTATACTAAAAAAATTTTCATAGTTTAAAGTCCAACTGATAACGTAAACTACGGCTATAATCATACCGTTATTGGTTAGGGTTACAAATATTCACGTAGGCCTTACGGGGCGTTTAATAGGGCTTAAGCCTTATATATTAATTTATTACTGTAATTTTAACCATCAATAATTAAAAACGTGTCAAATACTAGCTGATATCAATTTACTATAGAGCTCACCCCCATAGGAAGACTTTAGTATGATTGGCTGTTTAAGTCCATTTAATTTTACATTATTTATACAGTTTAAAGTACTTTTTAAAAAAAATCAAACTACGAAAAATAAAAAAAAAGAACTATATAAAAGGTTTTATTAGGGTCGTTGGATTCCATCATTAAAAATAATCAAAATCATTTTTAGTTTTAGAGAAGTTAACATAATAGCGACATCTTAAAGATAGATAGAATTAGGCTATTACCATGCTAACTTCTCTAAAAAAAGGGGATTTTAAGGGTAGGGTGTACAAATTTCCAATTTCATATAAAATAGATTGTAGATCAACTTTGTGTAACGAATTTTATAT